TTTAATCAGCTGATTTTATATACAGGGTGTTCATTTGAAAACTTTCCATATCTATTGTATCCACAGGTAAGGCTTTTAACACTTAATCGTTCTCATTTCCCCCTAATTTGGACATTCCAAATCCAAAGTACAGTGTTCGTAATGAAACCCCATTTTATTAAGCTGACGGCAAAGAGCTGTTTTCTGGACTAAATCCTTGCGTGGGAAGTTCGTCAAAACAGTGAAGTGTGACGCAATAATAATTTACTAGTGTACATGTTGCTCGAATTCGAGCAATTACAAAGTATTACAGGAGTTATTTCAGATTGAATAACAGTCATATTTACAATGAATTTAAAAGAGTCAACTCAAATATTACCGTTGTGTAACTCAGACCCTGTTTATCTTCGTTATTGATAAACCTAAAGCATTCCGGACGGTTCTCTCCTTCTCAAAATGCCTCGCTGTACAGGCAACACAGGTCAATAGAGGGCCAATTGAGAACGAAAAGTCGTTTTGGGGTAGTGTAAGGGCGCATTTGTAACCAAATAGTTGAAGTTGTCCAGGTTCATGTTCAGACTGTTAAGCTGATGAGTTAGAGATGGCTATGGTTAAGCCTATTACGCGCCACTGTTCTGTAGCTGCGGTCGTTATCACGATTGCGCCTCCTGTCTATGTTTCGTTGTCGTTGCGTCGGAGACATTTAAAAGAAATAAACAACAAATAATAAACAAATTATAGCTACACAAAACAACGATAAATGCACAAATTTAAGTTACAATCATGCTAACACAATCCATCATAGCGACACAAAACAACGATAAATACACAAATTTAAGATACAACCATACTAACACGATCCATCTTGGGGGTTATGTTTACACAAACTCAAATAGTAAATAAATGTACTCAATGTGTTTCATTAATTGAAAAGTAAATAACAGCAATAAAATTATACAGCTGATCAAAATGTAAACAATTATGTTCTTCATAAGGATAACATGGGAACTTTTAAAGCCACTGGGGCAGAGCCCAAGGGACTTTTTCAAAAATGTAAGGTCAGTTTGCAAATCTACGCGACACGCTCTTTCCAATGAGACGTCAATGGATAAAATCGGTTAAGAAATGGCGGAGGAGTTCAACCGACAAACTTTCGTGTAACGTATTAATTATATAGATTAAACATAAATACTCTTGAATAATACAGCATTGGTCTGTTTTACCTACCATTTTAGAATCCCATGTCCTACAGTAAATAACACAGTATTATAATTAATAAACCCACCAATTAGTTTAAACCATCGATCTCTAGAGATCGATGGTTTAAACAAACGAAACAAAATTATTCTGAATTAAATTATTGGTTTAAATCAGCTGTGTGACGTTGTATATCCCAATGTGCTGTTGAAACTTCTACAGGTTTACATTAAATTTAGAGTAAATCCAGCCCATTGTCTTCTTATTGCTTTCATGAATACAATGTACAATAATTACATTCAAAAGCCAACATTCACTTTAATCAGTTTAGTGATTTATGTGGATGTCATACTAACTCACAAACCTCAACACTTTCCCAATAATGTCCAAATTGCGTTAAAAGTTATGTTCAAATCTGATTAAAATATATTGCTAATTTAGTGGGAATGAACAATATAAAAAAAATATGTCCATGCCATGCTTTACAAATCTGGTTTAAAACAATTATATCGTTAATTTAGTGGAAATCAACAACATCAAAATCACGGACGAAAACTCACATTTCCCCACTTTGCCCGGAGAGAGGGATAGACGGCCGTGACGTCACAGTTCGGAAGTCTGTGTCGTCGGGAGTCTGCATCGTCGGGAGCCCCTGGTATCGCACCTAGCATATAAATGTAGAGAATGCTACATTTACTGCTACTACAAATGTAGCGTGCTACCGTCTTTGCTTCAGTTTAAAAAATGTAGCAACGCTACATTTACTGCTACAATAAATGTAGCGTGCTACAGTAGCGTTGCTACTTGTAGCATGCTACTACCCAACACTGGATATAACCAATCCATAAAAACTGTTATGTAATATTTTTGTTATAAACTAATAGTATTGATGAATTAGTAAAAGAACTTGACAAGATATGTAATTGTCAGTACCCCACGGGGAAGAAGAGTAGGCCTTGAAAACAGAGGAAGGTGGAGTGGTTTATTGATGAGGAATATTAATACACCAAAGGCCTCATTATAGCACAAGGCTCCAAGTGACCAGAACGGTTAGGTAACAACTTTACTAAGTTAACCTTACTTAGAACTTACTAGTTAACTTTACTAAGAACGTAAAGTCCTAACTAGAACAAGTGAGGTGAGGTGGGACATGCTTTGATTCCGAGGATAAAAATATGCCTAACCATTTATATCTATATTTATATTTATTTTATATTATTATATATATATATATATATAAATAAACTTGCCATTTAAAATGGAAAAGTGCCAATTTCCGTTAGCTTTGTATTTTGCAATTGGCAACTTCAGTTAAGCACAAGGACAATCGCTAAAAGAGCAGCACTGTTCTTACCTAGACAAAAATTCTGGTTACGGAAAATTCTGACCAGGGTAATCTTCCTAAAGGTGACTTTACGACTAAAAACGTAGTATTCAAGGAAGTAGGCTATACTTTGTGAGGATGCGGAACAGGTCACTAAATCTACAAACTAACCAACATGGGAGCAGTGTCCGCAACTGAAATACAATCCCCTAGAAAAATGTGATGCTAGGTATTAACCCTCCGAGCGTCACTCGTCGAAAAATCGACTCACGATACACTTTGTGTAGTGTCACGCGTCGATTTTTCGACACACGAATATCGTTTACGGCAAAGGCTCTATGACTGACTGAATCGGATTGAACTGGATCGAGTTAGGTATCGTTCTTTTCGTTAGATTCTAAGCTTTCTCCAGAGGTCTGTCTCTAAGCGCTTTATGTTCTTGGTTATCGGTTGACAAGAAGTTTGATGTTTTTGGATCCTGCAAAATGTTTAACTGTTCAGGTCTTACCTATTCTATTCTTGATGAGCAAGGCCATGTCATGCAATTGCACTATTGCCCGGGCACTCCCTATGATGGGGAACATCCTATATCCGCTACCCGTGTAAGAAAAGGCTCCTTGGAGGACTGCTTGCAGAGGACTCGGTCATTTTGATGATGAAAGAAAGTGAGGATAATCTGACCTGGTCACCATTAAGTCTCAGTTTATTCAGGGTATTCTCCGCACCAAGAAGCTTCAACTTGAACGAGATTTTGGTCTAAGTCACAAAATAAATTAATGTCAGAAGCTGTGCAAGCCCTGAGTACTTAGGTCACATTGACCTGACCTAATGAAATTGGACAAACGATCTTATAGCTGTATCCAACAGAGATTTTGTTCAGAGAGTTGTTTGACCAATCCAGGACTTACTTTCACACTAGAGGATTCGCTGTGTGCAAAATAAAAGTATTTTCCCTCCACTCCTTCAAAAAAAAGGAAAACCCCCACAAAGAATTTGATCATTTTGGTAAACTAAACAGTGTAACTTTCCGCAACATGAAACAGATGTAAATACAAGAAACAAGGGCAAATTGTTCTCATTATAACACATGTAACCAATAACTTTTTTATCACTATAACCTCATTAAAATAGCAAACAAAGCGTCACTAAAAACATAACAGATTTTTCTTTTTCAGATAGAAGAACTAAGTCGAGGTAGCAAGTTTGAAGATGAAATAAGACGGGAACAGGAGGAACGGAGGAGAGAAGAAGAAGAGAAAGTCCAGAGGAGAATAGCGTTCAAAGAAAAAGCGGCCTTATTCCAGAATGGCCACTAGCACAAAATTGTGTTTGTTGTTTTAATGTCCCTTTTTTTCATAGTTACATGTTTGGTCCAAAATAATATTGCAATCACGAATTACTAAACAGGAGAATTCCAGTTTTGAAAAAAAAACAAATAGTATTTATGTACTAATACACATTTCTCGAGAATGCAACATTTAGTTCTGTCACTTACAAAATGGGTTCATATTAATTTTAAAAGCCTTCTGTACAAAATTAATGAATCTGAAAACTGATTTTTCATTTTACCGTTCACTAAATTAGTAATAAGTAGTTATTATTGTAATGTAGATTAAGTTTATGTAAATTGTATATAAATGGATGGACGTTGTAGGAGATCTGTTGGTTGTTTGATAAATTTTAAGTAGACAAGATAAAAAATTATATTTATTTCTTTACAATATTGGTACGGTACACTTAAAATTACAGTGACATATTTAGTTTTATAAAGAAATACTCAAAATAATAGTAACATTGAATCAAATAACTAACAGCTTAAACAATAAAAATAAGAATAGGTGTTTCTGATTTATCAACAAATCCTGTTCAATTGTCCTAAACTGTTACAATGTACTAGCCTACTGTAATACATTTAATAACAAGTGTAAAGTTTTTTAAATACTCTCTCTTTTATATTCATTTCATATAACTTGTCATTAAAAATATGGCATTTAACAATTTAACTCTTTAACAGAAGAAAATATGATAAGGCCAATCATATCATTGTACCCATTGAGGGTTTTATTTTAAAAAAATGTCATCAATTTAACTTTAGACCACTTTCCAATAATAAAAAATGAATGGTCTATAAACAACTTTCTAACCTATTATAACTTCGCTTTCAGGTATAGCAATTTGTAGTTGTACTATCTTATTTTATCTACTGGTTTTGTTTTAAGATGTATCATTGCCTTATATAGATTATAATTTATTTATTTACATGAGATCAAATAGTAGAAATTAGTCAGATATAGATGTAAATATTTTTGTAACTTTGTCACCATGTTTTTGATGTAATAAAATTTTATGGTAATTTCTTGAGATTTATTTTATAACCATTTTTACTGTTTGCAAAGAAATTGACAATAATTATTAGTTTTTTACACATTATCCATCCCAAGAATAAACCATAGAACCTTTCTTAACCAAACAATTTTTCACACAAATAACATAGAACGGGTTAAAAGAAATAATAACTCCAAAATGTATATTCAATAAAAGAAGAGAAAACAAAGGAGCCGAATTAAGAGTAGTACAGGGTTTGGGCTTAAGGCTGTGTGTAGACTGCTACACAATGCAACTACATACAGTAACACACTTCTCTCGCTTTCAGCCAAATTTTGAACAACTGTCTGCGTGATTTTAAACACTTTTAATACTTACACATTGCAATAGACAATAACATTGACAATGATTCACCTTGCATGCTGCGCTCAGTTAAGTAAAAACTGTTTGAACATGGTTAACTTACTGTTTGATTATGCAAAACTTGAATAAAGCTATAGCACTACAAAAATGCATATTTCACAATCTATTTTTCCGTTTGTTTATTGCAAATCAGTATGGGATATCCAGAGATACAACTTAAAGGGGTCTACTTAAGGAGGCTATAGTCTACTGAATAACATGTTAGAGTGAGAAAATGCAATTTTCTGGGGAAAAAGATCTCACATTTCGTATGATTAGGCATATTACACAAAACACTTTAAATTATAACACACTTGTTCAATAATTACCAATTTCCATCCTGTTAGATAAATGCAAGTTTTGCAAATTTCACTTGGTATACTTGAAAAGAAGACCACCAAAACTTCCGCTTGCATGGTTGACTGCTTCTAAAAATAAATCACAAATAATGACAAAAAAATCCAAACATCGTATTTTTAATAATAAATCTACAAATATACCTGTGAATAGGACATTTTCATAAGAGCTTACAGCTTTTATCTTTTACAGCATTTATTCACCAAGGGCATTTTGATATTATTTCTGGAGACAAACACATTCTAAAACGTCAGTATACATATATATATGCCGATGATATATATATGGTGGCGGCACAAGGTAGGAGTTTTGAAGAGGTGGCAGAAGCTGACTATGACTCTAAATGAACTTTCCCAGTACTATGACGCAAATCACCTCAAGCCGAACCCTGCTAAGACCCAAGTTTGTGCCTTTCACCCAAACAATAGAGAAGCAGGCCGTGAGTTGAATGTGAGGTGGCGGGGAGACCGTCTTCAGCATTGTCCTACACCCAAATATCTTGGTGTCATACTGGACCGCACACTGACATTTAAGGCGCATTGTATTGCGACTAGAGGTAAAGTCTCAGCGAGGAATAATATAATCAGGAAGCTCACCAGCAGATGCTTGGGTGCTAACCCTAATGTCCTCAGAACCTCAGCTATAGCGCTCAGTGTGTCGGCTGCGGAGTACGCTGCACCAGTATGGAACGCATCGTCACATGCAAAAAAGGTTGACATTGCAGTCAATGACATGGCTCGAATTGTAACTGGGTGTTTGAAACCAACCCCAGTACACAAACTCTATTGTATCATAGGGATCGCCCCTCCATCAATCCGACGTGATGTCGCTGCCGACGCAGAAAGGACTAAGCAAGAGACAGACCCTCGTCACCCATTACACGGCCACCAACCTGCAGAGCGATGGCTTCGGTCTAGAAAGAGCTTTTTATCACAGACACGAGTCCTGGATGGATCACTCTCAAGCAATCGGGTGGCAAGGTGGGAGGCCACGTTGACTAACACTCCCATATACCAGCCAGGGAGGAACTGGCTCCTGGTGCAGGCCTTCATTACACGGTGTGGAAGACCCTAAATCGAATTAGGGTCAAGGTACCAAAATGCAAGACAAACATGCAGAAATGGGGTCTCTTACCAAACGAAGAAAACATCTTGTGCGCGTGTGGTGCTCTTCAGGATCCTGGCCATATGCTGATCTGCCCACGCCTAGACCAGTCTTGCACATTAGATGATCTTTTACATGCAAATGACAAAGCCATATCGGTAGCTGATTTTTGAAAAGCTAAGTCTGATTTCCGGACACGGAAAGTAAGTAACTGGAAAACATCCTAAATTAATGATGAATTTAAATATCAAGCAAAGATATGTAGCACACTTTTGGACTGTACAACAAGCACTTGAATTAGGACTTCGTCTAACCAAAGTACAAAGAGTTTTGGAATTTTCTCAATCTTGCTGGCTGAAACCCTACATCAATTCCAACACTACAAGAAGAGTAGGAGGAGGAAAGAGAAGAGGCCAAAAACAAACGGCCAAAAAGCAAGGAGGTAGTATTAAAAGAAAAAGAAGGACTAATAAAATAAAAAAAAAACAAGAAACCAACAATATGGTCAAAAAAAGGAGGAGGATTATACTTAAGACCATACCGTGTGTATTAAATAAGAAAAAACAAATATTAATTCCAAACAAAGAGTTGACAAATAAAGAATTAATTATACAGGGTGATTGGTACTCAGTGTGACAAAATTTTTTTGGTGTAAGTACAAAGTAAATGATGTGTGATGATGCATATAAAATGTTCCAAGTCTAACAATTAGCTTCCCAAAAGATTATTTTATATTTTTCAAAAATAACCATGCTTTTAAACTTAATACAGCGATTTTTCAATTACGTGTATATGGATTTGAGTAGGTAATGTCATTTTTGTGTTCTACTTTAAATTTTGAATAAGAATAATACAAAATGACAGAGGATCAGTTGTAAAAACCCCATTGTAAATAGACTTTTTTAAATTCATTGTTAAGCCCCTGAGATGTAGATATTGTTGTAAGACTAGATTACTTACGTCAATAGCTCATTGAATCTTGAATTTCACTTCATGTTTCAGTACATGTTTCGACACATTGTCATCATCAGCTGAGTACTAGTGAAGTTTTTATTCGCCATATGGTTTGTCAATGTTCAATTAAATAAACTCGCAACACGTAACACAAATACGACACGACACGGAACATATACATTTACAACACGTAAAGCTTTAAGACATGCAGGCCTGCTCGAACAAAACACACGGTCATGCCGCGGGTCGGGGACAGACTGACTATTTGTTTATCCAGGCTTATCATTGTTATCACGGAGGCAGTGGACAGCTGTTTCTTTGGTAGGAATGATAGAATTGAATATCGAGTTGGAGCTAAAATTTAGTTTTTATTCAGAACAAATTCATTTTCGTCGTTATTTTTATGAGCTCTGTATATTTTGTATTCCTCCAACAAGTCCAATTTTCTGCCCTTTTCACAAATGTGGAGTATTTCTAGACTGTCTTCTATTGTTCCGAATGAGTGGTTATTGTCGATTATATGTTGGCTGAATGCTGATTTCTGTTTGTTCGTCCTAGGGTTTGGTCTATGTTCTTTAAATCGTGTGTTAAACCCGCGACCAGTTTGGCCAATATATATGCTCGGGCAGTCAGCACATTTTAGTTTATAGACACCAGTTTTGTTATTATTGTTCATTTTTGCATTTGGCGTTTTGTAATTCAGCAAGTTTATTGTTTTATTCTTCGTGTTGAAGACTAGGCTTAAGTTGTTATCTCTCATAGATTTTTTCAATGTGTGTTGTATGGTGTTACTGTATTCGATACATACATATTTAGCCTTATTTTCACGGTTTAGTTGGCAAGTTTCAATGTTAGTTTTTCGTTTGTTCTTATGTTTGGTGATAAGTCTGTCCACTAAACTGTCAACATAACCATTTGCCCTAGCGATGTGTTTGATTTATAGCTACCTCTGAATCAAAATCGGATTTATTTAATGGTATACTTAGTAAACGATGTATCATTGAGTTGTATGCACCCATTTTTTGTGAATGTGGATGATGAGCTGGCATGAATTGTTTGATCAGTTGTGGTCGGTTTTCTGTAAATGCTGAATTCAAGTTTAGTGTCCTTCTTTTTCATGGTTAAATCGAGAAAGTTGAGTTGGTTATTATATTCTATTTCAATGGTGAATTTCAGTTTTGGAGCTATTTTGTTGAGGTAGTTGTGGAGGAGGTTCAGTTGTCTATTGTTTCCATTGAATAACATTGTGTCGTCTACGTTGTCACAGAAAACGTACTACTATAACCCAGAATGCCAACCGCAAGGTAAAAAGCATTAAGCGGTTTGAGAGAGCTTTGCCTGTCAATCCGTAGGCAGCACCACCAGCGTTGCTATGCTATTGCATGGCAACGCTGGTGGCGCTGCCTATGGATTGACAGGCAAAGCTCTCTCAAACCGCTTAATGCTTTTTACCATGCGGTTGGCATTCTGGGTTATAGTAGTACGTTTTCTGTGACGTTGTAAAGAAAAATAAAAGCTCTTTACTTATTTCTTTGGTAAGGAAATATAACTACTTTATTTCCTTACTTAATTGATCATTCCATCAAGTAAAATCACCTCACACCTTTATGTAATACAATTTAGGTATTCCATACAGGTGTGAGTAGGCCTATTATAAAAAGTTGCCCCTTGGTGGGGTTTGAAAATGAAATTTAATTAATTTAATCAGACAACTGAGGATTAATCACAAAACTGGCAGTGGAAGTACCTAAGATGCTGTATTGAGCCCTGGTAATTTTATACCCCAGAAATCCGATTTATGGACCGTGAGAGACCTGATATGTGTGCCGATTTTTAAATGAAAAGATTAAAAATCCGCGACAGGCAATGGACAAGTCAGTCCAACCATGACGTAACGCGGAAGGATACGAAGACCGTTGAGAACCGCGTCGTCTGCAAAGCGCCTCGGAGTCCTCACTCGTGGTTTAGCACTCGCACAGACAACATGTAAAGTCGCGTTTTGTCGCTGGTGTAGGACGAATTTATTAATATCTTCATTCGTAGCTCGGAAATTCGCATTCGGGCGGAAATTGTACGTGCATCAAATGATCACAATTGTCAAAATTTCGCCGAATTGCATTTGGGGGTGTGTTTTATTAGTATTAAGTCGAGACAGTTGAGATGCCAGATTGATTGTTCGCGTTCGTAATGAAAATTCGTACATGCATCATATCGATAGCAAATGTCAGTTTCTAGCGAATCGCGGGTCGTCGTGACGGTATTTTCAATTGAATCATTAAACGCCAGCTCGAAAAAACAAGAATTAATAAGTCATACACCAGAAAAAACCGTGTCGTGATATTCCGCTCGGTCAGACAAAAAGTCACAAATTACCACGAGTCAGTTTTTAAATGTTCGGTACGCGTGAATCTTCGTCGGAATGAATGTGAATGTGTCGACATGTGTACGTAAGTAAATGTATTGTGTTATTTGTGTTTTAGTATTATTGTAGTCCTGCCAATCTGCCATTTTTTTCACATGTTCCACTAGCTTTACAAGTTATAATCGTGTCCTGTTTGGTTTGAATATTTCATGTTTCATTTGGTATACCTTGAGTACATGGTCACAATTCAGGATGAAGAATATTTAATTGAATTTTATCATGTTATGCAAAGAATTTAAGTTACATTAGTAATTATAGTCAATTAAAAATTATTTATTAAATAAAATTGAAATGGTCTATTAATTTTAAGAACAATGATTATCTGTGATATTATTATTTTTATGTAAGGGTCAAATTCTATCATCATCAGTATTATTATTTATAACGTTTTGTATTTCATGTATGGAAATAATTTTGAACAGAGTATTACATTTTTTAATAGGGAGAGTTTGATTGTGTAACGTAAATGGGGGTAACAGAGTGCTCGGTCGAAGGCTAGGGTTGATAAAAGGTCATGAGGATAGACTCCCATTAAATTCATAAACATTAAATACTAAATAAAAGTTATCAATTAATCGACTCAGTAGTCGATTGGCCCCGTTGCATTGATCAGCAAGGAGTGATGTAGATCACAAACCTACATAATAGTCCCTGTTTGATTAAATTGTAATCTGGCCAGTTTGATAAACACGAACATCTTTGGGGAGTCTGGTGACCTAAAATAAATAAATAAAGTTGTCAAGGCTAGATCATCCCGAGACTTTGTAGTTTTAAAAAAGATGAAAAACCGCCAATTTGAACTTTCAACAAACAATCAACTCTCTCACTCTCTCGTTCTCAAAATATTAAACGTTGTGTACAATAGGCAATAGTAGTAGTTATGTTCAATTCATGTCACAGCTCAATTTCAAATTCATTATACGGTATTTTTACAAATCAACATCTTTTTATTTGCCTGTGTTTCAGATAGTATTATTAATATCAAACTGGTGTAATTTAAGAGGTACAAGCTGCTATACCCGTGCTTTGCAACGGCAAGAAAATGTGACCTAGAGAGCCATTAAAGTAATTCTGATGTGTATTTTAAAATACGGCAACTCTTAGTTTGAAAATATAAACTGATTTAAAAGTGTAAACCTACTTACTTTCAAACTCCTACTTTTTATGTTAATAGATTCAAAAGTATAGGACAACATACCTTAGTGTAGCAACAGCATCAATTTTTCTAATTGATGCTTCTCGAATGACATGTTTTACCATAATTCTTCAACTTAAGTCAAACCTCTTTACATGTAGCTTACTATATGAATTACAAAATGAAACTTTGAGCAATACTTTACAAAACGTATACAACCTTTCTTTAAAACCAAACATAACCCTCCTAAATCTACATAAAGCATCACAAACATCTTTTTCGAGTAAATAAACAAACACCAGTTCATTGTACTGAACAGCTGTTTCATTAACTAAAATAAACTAAATTAAACTTTGGAAGCATGCCAGGCGTAGCCCTTTGGAAATCAGCCTGTGGGGCAGAGCCCTTAGGAAATTCGTCCATATCAATACTTTTCGGCAAATCTACACATTCTAAGCTTCATTTTGATGTGACATATGCCTATATTTTTATTTGGTAAATGGCCTTAACCGTTTACATAAAATTTGATTGTATCACTTTAATAATATAATAGATTGGCTTAACTGAAAGAAGTATACAAAGTATACACAAAGAATATTGATGATCACATTCTATAGATATGTTTTGACATTACAAGTTCATATTACATTTTTAATATAAAGTTGGTGAATTCATAAGAGTAATCGG